GAAAAAAAGAACGAAAAAATTGAAGATAGTTTAAGGGACTTATGGGACAACATCAAGTGGACTAACATTTGCATTGCAGTGGTCCCTGAAGTAGAAGAGAGAGAGAAAGGGGCAGAGAAATTATCTGAAGGAATAGTGTCTGAAAACTTCCCTAACTCGAGAAGGGAAATAGACATCCAGACCCAGAAGCACAGAAACTTCCAAATAAAATGATCCCAAAGAGACCTACTCCAAGATGCACTATAATTAAAATATAAAAGACAAGGAGAGAATTTTAAAAGCAGCAAGAGAGAAAAAAATGGTTACATACAACCGAACTCCCATAAGACCATCAGCAGAATTTTCAGCAGAAACTTCCCAGGCTTGAAGACAGAGGCATTATATATTCAAAGTGCTAAATGGAAAACAAAGAAAAAAAAGTCTACACAAGAATACTCTATCTTGCAAAGTCTGCATTCAGAATTGAAAGAGAGGGAAAAGTTTCTAGAAGACCTGAAGCTAAAGTAATAAAATACCGATAAACTGGCCATACAAGAAAAGTTAAAAGGACTTATTAAAATGAAAAAAGGGTTTTAATTAGTAACAAGAAACATATGAGAATATAAACCTGATTGGTAAAGCTAAATACTTAGTAAAGCTAGTATGAAGGTTAAATGTCAAAGGTAGTAAAAATAAACGTAACTACAATAATTACTTAAGAGATATACAAAATAGAAACATGTAAATTTGACATCAAAAACATAAAACCTGAGGGGGAGATTAAAAATGTAGAGCTTTAGAATGTGCTCAAACTTGGCAGTTATTGACATAAAATAGATGTTGTTTGTGTTACTCATTAGCTTTTATATGTATGTGATACTATTCTTTTATGAAAAGATCATAGGAACCACACACACAAAAACACTGTAATAGATGCACAAAAGATATAAGGGTATCTAAGCATATCACACAAAAAAAATGCTATGAAACCTAAAAGGAAGAGAATCAGAATTAGGTTTATTTATTTATTTATTCATTCATTATTCACGTTATCTTTTATTTAATTATTTATTTTTATTTAATCGAGGTACTGGGGATTGAACCCAGGACCTCATGTATGCTAAGCATGCGCTCTACCACTAAGCTATACCCTTCCCCCAAGTAAGAGAATGAGAACAGAAGCAAAGAGAGGAACTACAAAACTTGCTGAATGACAACTTACAATATGGTATTAAGTACATATCTATCAACAATTATTTTAAATATAAATGGACTAGATTCTCCAATCAAAAGACAGAGACTGGCAGAATTGATTTTCTTTAAGATGCATCTATCTGCTGCCAACAAAAGACTTCACTTCAGATGTAAGAAGGCATACAGATTGAAAGTTAAAGGATACAAAAATATATTTCATGCAAATTAAAACCTAAAGAAAGCTGGGGTAGCTATACTTGTATCAGACAAAATAGACTTTAGAAAAGGCTGTAATAAGAGACAAATGAGAGCATTGCATAATGACAAAGTGGCCAATCTAATAAAAAGATGTAACACTTGTAAATATTTATGCACCCAACACAGGAACACCTCAATATAGAAAGCAAATATTAACAGACCTAAAGGGAGAAATAGTCAGACATACAATACCTGTAGGAGACTTTAATACCCCAGTTACATTAATAGATCATCCAGACTGAAAATTAGTAATAAAACTTTGGCCTTAAGTTAGGCCAGATGGACTTTAAAAAGATGTATGTATGTATGTATATATGTACACACACACACACACACACACACAACACGTCCTTTAAAAGGAACAGAATACACATTCTTCTCAAATGTAGCACATAGATCCCCAGGAGAGATCATACGTTAAACAACAAAACAGATTTAATCAGTTTACAAAGACTAAAATCATGTCAAGTATCTTTTCTGACCACAATGGTATGAAACTAGAAATCAACTTCAAGAAGAAAACTGGAAAATTCACAAATATGTGCAGATTCAATAGCATGCTACTGAACAACCAATGGGTCAGAAAGGAAATCAAAAGAGAAATCAAAGAAATATCTTGAGACAAATGAGAATGGAAATACAAAATATCAAAACTTATTGGATGCATCCAAAGCACTTTTAAGAGAGTTCACAGTGATAAATTCCTACCTCAAGAAAGAAGAAAACTCTCAAATGACCTATATTCACACTTCAACATTCAAAGAATGGATATACCGATCCTTCTCAAACTCTTTAAAAAAGCAGAAAAGGAGGGAACACCCCCAAACTCATTTTATGAGGCCAGAATTACCACTAAACAAGGAAGCCACAAGAAAAGAAAATCACAGGCCAATATCCCTGATGAACACAGATGCAAAAATCCTCAACAAAATATTAGCAAACCAAATTCCACAAGAAACTAAAAGAATGATACATCATGATCAAGTGGAATTAGTAGCCTTGTAAAAAGAACTCAAATTAATTTCCTTGTGGAAAAAGCTGTAAGTCTTTTATTACCACACTGTAGTGTTATAACCTGCATTTGAATTACTTACCATATGTACAAGCTACTAAGTTAGCCTAACTGTTCCTGGATGTTGGCAGACGAGACATGAGACTCCTGAGACAGAGACAACAGACTGTGTTACAGCACAGTAAAATGCATGTGTATTAGCCGAATAGCTGTTGGCCTCCACGGACCTCAAGTCTCACAGGGGAAGAGGCAGCGAGGCCAAAAGGATGCTGTTAATTTAGTAGGTCTGTACTGCAACTCGGGTAGACAAGGTTTCAGGAATTCACCACTTTGAGAACAAGCAGTGAGCTAAGCCTTTTCCTGCTTGCGGGCAGGACTGAGACACTACATCATTCCTCCAGGTTCACCACTGCACACATAAGCCCAAGAAGTGGCCCATGTAAGGAGCAGCTAGGTCTTCCTTCTTGGCAAACCAAGCAAGATATATAGGAAGACAGACACCCAATGACAACTGTTTCTTTCAGGTGTACACCACGCTGAGCAGCAAGTGATAGGTTGTTTTTCTTCATTCTTTTTGGCTACATGATAAAAAGTTTGGAAAACTTGCATTTAACGACATTGAACAGACTTCTGGCAAGGCTTTTTCAGAGATCTTAATGTGCAATGAATCTCCAAGATGAAAAAAATTACGGCTCAGTGTTTCTCAAAGTTTTATGACCACGAATTCTTCTTTCTTAAGTACTTATGAATACAAACTGCATTTTCCAAAAGTACTGTTAGCTTTTGCTATTTTGCTTGCTTCTCATAAGTTATCTCCTGGTCTTTTAAGAAAAATCACCATAATACACTTAATCTGTGCATGAATATAAAGTGTCAGGCCAGAAAGAGGTACATAAAACATGATCAATATTTGAAATAGTTGTTTTCCCTATTCTGTGGCTTTCCATGACATGCTAACCTTAATCATCTGATCATGGCAGTAATTGCACTATTTTAGTAACTTTTTGAACCATGTGACACATTGCTGGACTACATAGCTACCATTTTTAAATGAATGCTAAACATTTATTTAATTCCCTGATGTGACTTCCTGAATTTTGTCTCTAACATGAGAGTTCTTATTAATAACTTTATCTTCCTTTATATTCGGTATATCCTTATTCTATGGCAAACTCTATTCACCCTCTTATAATATTTAGATTAATCAATCAAGACATTCAGGAGACATCAATCTGTTAATGCCATGGAAATTTTGCTCACAAAAAGAAATTAAGGAGTGTTGTTAGCTGTGGCAGACAGTGGAGGCCCCAAATATTTTGTCCACTCCCCTGCATCTCTCAGGCCTCTATAATTAGGAGGAGTTATGCAATAAACCCTCCCTGATTGTCCATGGATGGAAGTCCCAGGCAATACTTCCTCAGAAGCGTTGAAGAGCTTTCAGGTTATCACCCGCTGCTACACCTGACAACATGCAGATGAGACGGTGGGCTCCCATCAGCCTGACACCCGGGGTGTCCCTGTGGAGCACAGCCCCACCAGTTAACAAGTCTGAGGCAGGTGGTATAAGAGATAAATCAACTGTGATTATGTTTTGCCATGGAGATTTTGTTAAGCTATACTATAATCTTAAAACCAAAACCAATTTTGAATAATGCAAGATCCTCCCAAAGCCAGAAGTTCTGAAAATTGGCTTTGAAGCCACCAACAGCCTATATACTACCTGTGTTAATAAATTTGAAAACCTTGAAGATCCTTGTATTTGAGAATTAAGATATCCTGAAGCAATGTTTACTAAATCGTGTGCCTTAAAATACTAATTCTGGGATATAATAATAGATACTTTATGGGTAAAGCTGATCGTTTGGGAAATACTTGGGAAATAATGCAAACTAAATAGTCCTGTTGGAGACTGACTAAATATAAAGGTGATGTATGTTCCAAGACACCAATATTCCTTTAATCCAATTTTCTAAACATAACCACGGACTATGGTTTCTTCCATTAAATACTAGGCAAAGTAACTTACAGAATTCTAATTTGGGAAAGCCAACATGGAGAAATGTTTAGTACTTCTTTTCAACAGGGCTGCTAAGTGACAGAAAGGGCACAATCTAAGGAAGATAAAAAAGAAATATGTTGCCTCAAAAAAGAGGCCTCTTTACTCCTAAGAAAGAGTCTGGATGGAAGTAAGTGAGGACAACACTGAATGTCAGCTGACAGCAGTCAGATGCTCCAAATGCAGACAGATTATTCGGGTGGGTGCCTAAAGCACCTGAACCTTAACTTCTCAGTCATGATGAAAACTTCCCTTTACATAGAAAATTTTGAAGCAGATGAACAAAGGGATGTACAAGGAGCACATATGTGCACATGCATACACATCTGTGTGTGCGCACATATATGTATGTGTATATAGATAAGGACATAAAAATGACTTTCTCCCCATCTCCTTAGAGAGTTAAGTCAGCTTTGCAAATAGTTCATGTAAACATTAGCTCTGCCAACACTTTCAGAAGGCCAATGAAATTTACATATTGATCTGGCCCAGCCCACATGAGAACTATCCACAGATAAAGCTCTCTCTCTTCAATCTGTCTTTTACACACAGCTCCTACCAGGGCTTCTATAAAAATAAGGGTAAGTTTATTTTACTTCTTTACTGCAGTAGGTTTACTTTCATCCTGAGCTTTGATTTATTAGACTACATGGCTAAAGACTAACCTTTAATGACCCTGATATTCTGCACTTTATCTTTAATGATGTTCTTTAAATTTTTTTTTAAAGATGGTATTGGAAACCTTCACTTTAATCTCTCAAGCTTTCACTGGTATTACCATATACTGTTACGTCTTGTGCAATTAATATTCTCTTTTTAAATTGTGCACACATATACTTATTTTTATTCCTCTATGTGAAGACTCTCCTCACCACATAAAACAGAATCTACCCTTGGTTTAATACTTCTACACATGAACAAGGCAGCGAAGAAGAAAATAAATGTTTACTTATGTGTGTGTGTATATACACACAGACAAAATTATGTATGTTATACATGTGCACAAATGTGTGTATAAATCTTCATGCTTAGTTAACTAACCCCAAAGATTAAAGTGATAAAACAAATTTCACCTTTTGGGTTTATACTGGTAACTAATGTTTTGAGATACTTTATACCGTATGTGTGCTGTGTATGTGTTACAGATCTTTAGAACAAATTTTGTTTAATCTCCAAATAATTGTGATAATTGCCACTTACAGAATATGTTCATTGTTCATGACTTGTTTATCGTATTTAGATATTTTCTTTTCTAATGTCAAGTTACTGTTAATTGTTACTCAATGTTACAAATATCTTGAAAAGAACATGTAAAGACAGGTATTGATCAAGAAATCATATATATAAATATTGTTTTCTTTCAGAAGCGAGTATAGGCCCTTCAGTCAGTCTGAGTTCTAACCTTGTTTTGGCACATACTGGCTATGTGACCTCAATTAGTTGTCTAAAGATCACAGTAAGGTGGTGCAATAGGTCAACGAGATAACATATGTGAAACACTTATTTCCAAAACTGGCAGACAGTAAGCCCCCAATATATGTTAACTCTGTTACTGGATCATCATCATCATTTGAGGATCTTTATTTACACATACGATCTAGAATTCTACTCAAAGAATCTGCATCCAGATTTACATTTTAAAATTTTACATTTTACATTTTAAAATGTCAGTCTACCATATGACTTGGTCTGCAGCTTGAGGCTACAGGTAGACTCTGTAGTTACTCTTTGGACAAGAAAGGGAATTAGGAGTATCAAGACTCTGTGTTGCCCAATTCACAAATCCTACTGTTAATAAAGCTGTGATCAGAACTTGGGCCATGTGACTCTTCTTCTAGAACATTATGTATCCATTATCTGCCTCTCAAATATGCTGCAACAATTATATTACTCAACTTACTTTGTTCTTCCTCTTTTACTGCACAAGTGTTCAACTTCATGAATCAGCTTGTCTAGAAATACTGCTACAGAAGACTCCTGAAATCACCGAATGTTAAAAGAAGGCTTACTTACTGTTTTTCATATTCTTAGAGAAA